ACCCTGTAATTACTTGCACACTTCGCAAAGTTGGATCTAAATGATCTAAGGGGGCTGATGGATGTGAGCACTGAAGTCTGTGGCTTCTCTGCGGCTTAAGACAGTCTCCACCTGATGCTGGCTCCCCGAAAGCCACGACATATCAAAGACCGAGGCGTCAAGCTCAGAATCACTTGTCTCCTTCGGTACAAGTCTGGTCAACTACTCGAGCTAGCATGTTTTCGGAAGGCGTGTTAGCAACGCAGCAAATATAGTTGACGCCACAACAGCCTCTTGCAGGTCAGACTAAATGCGGACCTTCACCCACCTCCTAAAAAACAACGACAAAAGCTTTGAGGCCTCACGGGGCCTCGACGCTGGTTTTGCAGCGTCTGCCAGCCGCCAGCGCCATCCAGCACCTGCCAGGTTTGGGATGCATGGAGTCATTTTGCAGCCACAGGCACAAACTGCCCATTGGATGAAAAGCTTACGACTGAGGTGTGTGCCACACGATACTACAACCAGAAGGAGGTCGGCGCCTGATTCCAGTGCGGCAATCCATTGCAAACAAGCTGCTCGCAAGCTTTCTGTGACGGGGGTGCCAGCTCTGAATCACAGGATGGCGCGGCCTCTGGAACCGATTGGTCCGTGAGGTTCGTATTCGTCCCTGGGCAAGTCCAACAGCTTTCACAAGCTTGGCTCTTCGCGTGCTGAGCAGTTTCAGGCATGCGTCGACTGGCCACAGAAGAACACGGAAGGACCGTTTGCGCCTGCAGGAACAAGGAAACATGCTATGCAAGAGTTGCTACTTTGCAGCACATCTGAAGCTTAAGGATTCTGCCGGCAAAAGCTGTGTTCGCTTTGTAATTAGACCACGGTACGTCACAGAATCATGTCATAACTGCCCTACGCATCTTGGGGCTGCTGGCCGTTCAAAAGCACGTCTTCCAAGCTTGGTGTGCAGTGTCCAGCTCTCAGCGAGGCATTCAGTTCTTCCGAAGCAACCGCAGAGGAGACCCGTGCTGCAGAGATGTTTGCTGCTTGCAGTCATGTGGTTGTGATCTGCAGCGCCATTTCTTGAAAGGACTTCTGTAGCGACTAGAACAAACACTTTAATCTGCGCTTGCCTGGATCCCCCAACCCTTTCTAAACTGCTCTACATAGTTGCCTTGCCTCAGTGTCCTGGCGGTGCTGCCAGGGAGGAGTCCAAGCTTGCGCAGCCTCAGCATGCTCCAGCCAGTCAGGACACCTAATCCAAGAAGAAACTTGCATCCAGAGATGGGATCACGGTCCAAGCATGGCTGATTAATGCAAGCGGCCTGGGCATCCGAAGGCTTACCCCCGAAGTAGCAGAGCGCATCAGAGCCCAATGGTTCTGCAGTGTATGGCATAAAGCCCCATGGCGAAACCCCGCCCCCAGCTTGGTCTTCTCGACGAATGTTGTTCTGGCTGCTGGCTGCATGGTCGACACTGTCCGTCGAGGCCCGCGCAAACATAAGCTCGGAATTCAACTCTTCCACTGTTGCGGGAACACGGCTGGAAATGGTTTCAGTGGCTGACCTTCTCGTCCTCTGTGGTGCATGTCTGCGAATTTCAGGTGGGACTCCACCAGGTAAGTCCCTGGAGCTGCCAGGCTCGCCCAGCTTGCCAGCAAAGCGAACTGAGTTGGCGAAAAGCGCTGGATCTTCACCAGGCACCGGTCTAAGCTCCGCCTCGCCATGAGCAAACCTGCACCGCCTGCCGTACGAGCAACCGGCAGCTGTCCCGTACTGCGCACAGAGTCGAGTGCCGAACAAGTCCGGCTGTGGGCGAAGGTCTGCTTCTGAGTGAGCATAATTGCATGCTTGTCCCCGGCGACATCTCCCGGCTTCCACAAACCTGAGAGCTGTTGAGAACTATTCAAGCATGTTCAAGGCCAACTGAAACAGTCCAAGCACATTGTTTTTTTAGGTTCTTTGAGCCGTCTATTTCGAGTCGGACATGGATTTGTTGTTTGCGGCTGCCACATGTACCTGTACCGTCAATTCGGCTCGTCTCAGTAAATACCAAGAAGATAATTTATTTATCTGATTTCTTTTGCTTGGCGCAAGTGCCAACCTGACACGGCTGAATCCGGCGTGTCTGTGGCACTTCTTTGGCAATGCTCCACAAAGCATAAGGTATCTTCAAGCTGTAACTCAAACTGTGAGGAGCTTGCAAGAATGGAGGCTTCTCAAGAACTCGAACCAACTGCAGCCACCTCTTGAAAAAAAAACGCAACTGACGTGGCATAGTAGAGACCTCGCACCTGTCAGGGAGAAGGGAGCCTTCTCGAGAAAACCAGAGAGAGGTGGCGGGTTTGTTGGCGAGTCTGACGCCTTGAATGCGTGGGAGGCTAGTGCGGCGGTCAGGCTTAGCTGCAGAAGCCTGCAAGACATCTTTTTACTGACCCAATTATTTCCCGGGCAGCGGTTTCTACAGCTTTCTGCAAATGACTTATGAACCGGAGGGCGAGCAAATCTGCATCAGTTTCATTGCACGCGCTGCAATTGTCCAGGCAATGTCTTGCCACTTCAGCAATGCATGCAGGGACGCGTTTGCAGTGAGGCGTCGCTCACACAAAGGATTGGCATGAGCTCGGCCCTTGTGCCACCCTGCTTTTCTGCAGCAGCTGCAGTTCAAGGGCCAAGGTACGAAACTTTTCGCTAGCAATCTGGCGGGCAATGTTTCATGTTGAGAGCGTTGGCCTTTTTCAAGCGACCATTCTTGGCTCTGGGGTCTGTCTGCAACAGCACTCTTTCTCTAAGACTCCAGCTTGCACATCCGCGTGTTCTTCAACGACTGCAGGACCTGCACAGGGTGTACGTGTGCTTGTGCGTGCGTGGAAACTGCCAGGAAGCCGATCTAAAGCGCTGCGTGGAAGCATGTTGGCACTGGTCATATTATGATCGATGCATTGTTGAATGCAGTGGTCATATGGCTCCCTGCGCCTCCGGCCGACTCATTGGATGATACTGATCAAGAACAAGGAAAGGAAACGCCTTCCCATTCCTGTTGAGCCAAATGAGCCCAAGTTCAGGAGTCTGTGCTAATCTGCACGAATCCGTGCTCGTCGGCGCTCGGTTGTGCTCCAGGCACCCGTGATACAGATGATCTGATGCAAAGCTAACTGCAGTGCCGAGGTTCTGGCTCTTCTAGCTGGTCAACACCAAAGTCAAAGTCATGGTTTCCGTAGCAGGCAGTGTGGATGCCTCTGGCAGTTCATTGCAACAAGGGGTCATCTCGACATGCATCAGCCACACCTGCCTATGGCATTCAAAGCAGGAACCATATGCCTGGCCGCACGCTTGACTGGGGTACAGTCCAACTCGCATTGCTAAGGTGGACTCCAAGGAGGGAAGTGCAAGAGGACAAGACAAACGCCCCTCCACTCAGATGCGCAAAGCTGCAAAAGAACAGTCAGGAGCCTCCCGTATGTGGTGGTGGACCTGCAGACATCCTTCTGTACATTGAACTCGCTTGTACTGTCAAAACCAGTGGCTTGGGACTGCTAAGGGGCCAGGCCGCATGCTGACGGGGGGTGCCCTGGTTCATCCGGTTCATCCCTGGTAGAATTCAGGGCACAACTTCTCAATTTGGCGCATCCTGATGTCATCCAACAGCAATGCCATTGAAAAACTTCAGAGTGAATAGTACCGAAACCCAGCCCAAAGGAGACAGGCAAGGCCTTTCAAACGTAGCGCAACACTAAACAAGCAACGTTGGCGGGTCTCCCTTCAGGGCTTACGTTGCAGGTTGACAAATTTGACAATAGAAAAGGATACATACTAGGAGAAGTGCCGAGTCCGCTCTGAGAATTTCCCGGCGCAATAGCCCCGCCAGCTCGAGTGCCAAGCATTAGGGATGGATTGAAGGCATCTCCGCTGAACAGAATGACCGCCTCAGCAGACACCCAGGTCAAGTCAAGCCGTGTCAAGCGGCACAAGCATTGAAGCATAGCCGATGAACGCTGCCTGCTGCGTTGTGCACAAATCCGATTTATAGTTGACAAGCCGAACAACTGGTTTAGTCACGGCCTAAGACTTGCTACCCATGCACGACCAAGATATTAGCCTTGTGCACTGTCGCCCTTGGATCATGCTTGCCTCGTGTTCTCCTCGAGCCACCGACTCCGCCTGACCAAATGGTTTTGGAAGCGGCCCCCTGCTTTGACTAAAGCTAGCACATGCTAGCTGCTAGCACTGACCGGACACATGAAGAACGCCTCAACTTACTAAGCTTCATAACAGGCCTTGAGCTCTTTCATTCGAGTGACAAATCGTGCAATGCCACCCGCTGGCTCCTGGCTTGGAATCCCATCAGCAAAGGCATTCCACCTTCGTTGAGATGCAAGCACACCCAAGCTTCGACAACAATCACTTCCACTACTCTTGGTTCCACAACGTCCTTCGACCTAGGCTCCACGTTGTAGACGTCATTGAAGTGCAGAATGGTCATTCTCTTGGACCTGTCATCCAAAACTGACGCAAGGATCTGCAAGAATGCACGCGGTGTCTCGAACAGTCTCGGATGCTGCGTGTACCGTGGACACCCGAACAAACCACTTTGAAGGAGCACTGCTAGCTCAAAACCCCGGCGCACTTCTCGCCACCCGCGGTGTCTGCGACCCAGCGACCACTTCCGCTGGATGCAATGATCTCCTTCTGCCTGGTGCGTGCAGCAGTCACGAAATTCAACTGCATGGAAATTCTAAGTTGATGAATGCAAGCACCTTCCCTGTAGGCCCCGCTCGGTGGCTTACGAGGTGCAAGCCTTTTCTTTGAAGCTCCGCTCAGCTCCTGCTTCCTTTGGAAGCTCGAAGGGAAGCCGACGTGTGCCCGGACAAGACAGACTGCAAGCAAAGCATTGCACTCTGGTCGCGAAGGTCTGCCGCAGACGTACACCAACATGATTGGTATGCTTGCTCAGGTGAGAACATCTAATGGATTCTAGTAGTATCTTTCCATAGTAAGGATAGTGGCACATTGCCCTCATGGTCAGAGTCAGGCTCTCAGGAACGAGCAAATGCGGTGTACCACGTCTTGTCGATGCTGACCTCAGGTGGCTGTAGACTGCCAATGACAGGCTCGTCCGGTCTCATCGGTCAGAGGCCACACCTGCCTCAAGCCAAGGAACATGCACCATGTCCAACCGTGGGCAGCCACATTACACCTGCAACCAGCGAAAGACACCTCCTGCCCTGGTGGTCTGGACATCTGCGTCGAGCTTACGGCCTGCTGACTTGCCAGACTCGACGGACAATTCCTGAGATTGGCTCACACATGTGACAAATTACATCAGCCGATGCAAAGCTCCTTGTAGAGCTGCGCAGCTGGGATCATAGTATCCGTCTCAGCCTCAGTTGGGGCTGGCACGACATTAAGCGCCAAGTGCCAGCAAAGACGACCACCTGAAGCAGTATGCACTGCCTATACAAATGCCCGCGGCTGTGGAAAGGTTACTTGCTTATCCACCCTGCCAAGGAATGAGAGTCATGTCAATTTTTCACTGCTACAGCAACTCAGCAAACCTGCCACCTATGAATGCGGAATCCTCAGCTGCAGGCCAAGATAGTCAGGAGCCTGCGGGATTCACGCCACAGCAACTCTCCCCGCGCTGCACACTTGGCCAGCTACGGATACGAAACCGCGCAAACCCAAAATTTCTCTGTCTAGAGATATTTCAGCATGGGTGAAATTCAAATCCGATAAGGGCATGCAAGGGGTTGTATGTAGTTTAGAGTACAGCATCGCTTGGAATGTTGGCAAAGGGGACCGCTGCCTGCCCTGGCTGTTCATCTCCCGGAGCAGCCCACGATCCAGATACTCGGGGCCGTGCAAGGCGCGGCTGTTCACCCAGCCTAAACTGAGAACGGAATAGTCTAACACGAATCATTGGGCCCGAGCAGCAACAACCCAGTCTTCTAGGTATCTGTGTCGTTTTCAGCACTCCTGTCAACTGGGGTCATCCAAGCGACAGTAGACCAAGTCGCGAAAAATGAAATAGTTGAAAAAGTAGGTCTGGAAAATAATCCTGGGCTGCAATGGATAACAGCTGTTCACTGTCGCAACAAAACCACTGGCATTGATCTACAAGTCTCCACTTCCTCCGCTCCGCGGCAGCAGCTGCCTCGAGAGTGAAGCAAGCCGCACGTAACACCGCAAATACCGCAACGCAACACCGCGTCTCCCGCAAGGTCAAAGGCAAGGGGATGACAAGAGAGCACTGTTCGCTCCGCTCTGAGTCAGGATTTTGTATGAAGCACCGTCAAGTTACCAATGCTCTCTACAATGTACAAGTTCTCGCCTCGTCAAGTTCGTCGATGCACGGCTCGGGCTTGTTCACCACATTCCGCAGAATTTCCCACGTCGTGGGAGCTGCGATGCAGAAAGGTATGCGTGTACCACGATCTAATCCTAAGCCGCAACTGCAAACTGCAACGTTGGGGCCTGCGCCGTCCGTCGACTCCGTCAAAAGTTCCGTTGCCACATCACGGGGAGTGCGACGAAGGAGCTGTGCTTGCTTGGAGATGCCTGCGAAGACTGCAAGCAACATCAAGGAATGGGCAAGCACAATGCACACATGCTGCGTCACATTGCTTCCCTGAAATCCATCGTTCTTGACATCAGCTTGCAGCTGACAGGTCCCACACCTGCAATGACCTTGAAATATCCTGCAAGTACAAGCCTCCAGCCTGGGATGAAGCACATTGGGTCCATCAGCACCGTCCGCCGCACAGTCACGGCTGGCTGACATTGGCTCTCGCCAGAGCACTGCACCGGCCTTCCGTGGACTGCGCCGCCATGCTTCCGCGCCTGTGGCAACATGTCTCCCTTTGTTGGAGTATCTGCGATGCAGGAATGAAACTCCCCCCATGCTGCTTGCGCATTATGCAGCATACCATCTTGCACGCGCTTCATAGCATATCAATAGCCGCTGCTGGCTTCTGACACAAAATCCATCCTAAGGTGATAGTCATTGAGTCTGGTCTCCCCAATCTCTTCTTCCCTAAACAGGGTAGCTGCTTTGGGCAGTTTGATTCACAAGCTTGCTCTCACTTGCATTTGCGCTGGTGTATTGACGACTTACAGGATAATATTGTCTTACAGTTGTCTTGCCTGGTGCTCGGACAGCTCTTATATGAAATGCTCATCATTGGTCATCTCGAGTATCCAGCTTCCAGTAGCTGTTTTAGCAGCATTCAACGTCTTCTGCTGGATGACAAAAGCAACTTCTGCATCCGGCTGGAATCGTGTCAGTAAAGCTGAGCTGAGCGCATCCAGCTACTTGAGAATGATTGAGAGTCTGCTGTAGAACTGGCTAGCAACTAACACGCATCCGCGCCTCCAAATCCCGCACGAGCGCAGATGCTACAGCAGTCCCAAAGCTGTGCCCGAGGATATCGACCTCGCCCGGCCTGCTAAGGGTTTGATGTGTTGGGAAGCGTTCGTGGCAATCACTAGGAATTGCATAACTACTAGATGCACGGGTCATATTTTGCCACAGTGTTTCGGGCACGCTCCAGTCACGGATTGGTGTGCTGTAACACCACGCCTGCCAGTGCTTCGGGCCCTCAAACTTGCAGCTGGCTGGAAAAATCTTTTCATGCTGCGCAAACTACTTTCCTGTAGAGTGTAAGCGTATGCTTCCGAACATGGACAGTATTATGGTTCGGGCATGGATGCTCTGGTAATCGTATGCTATCGAACAGGGACGGCATTATGGATTGGGCGGGGATGCTCTGGTAATAGTATGCTCTCGCAACTTGACAGTATTAGGGTTTGGGCATGGATGCTCTGTAATTGTATCGAAGAATTGCAGCAAGCTCTGTGCACCCTGTTCAGTGCATTATGTGTTGAGGGTTTAGGGTTTCATTCAGCTAGGCTATGGAAGCACCGGTCATATCTCTAAAGCCCTCGGAATCCAACACCTAACACCTTCAACAAGAAGCGCAGAATGCCAAGAAATCCCTCAAATCCCTGAGAAATCCACTTGAAACCAGAAAACATACACGAAACACTGTGGCAAAATATGACCCGTGCTCCAACTACTTACTATGATCCACAACCACAACTGGAACACTCGTTTAAACTACCAAATTTCGAAGGGTGCAACCGCTCAAGCGCTTGTGTGCATATAGCGAAAAAGCCCGCTTCCACAATCAATAATACTGAATCCAAGTAATGGACAAAGGGGCCCTGTTGGGCCTCGAGGGGTGGAATTTATGATTGAAGGTTTGGGTGTAGTCTGGCCCCTTCACATTGCCTAAGGAAGTGGTTTCAGATACTTTCTGTTTGAAGATGGTCTTTGAAGCTGGCCTTGTCACAACATTGTCATCATATCGCCATCTCTAGGTACCATGTTTCTGCCCCTTCTCTGCCAGATGTTGAGGCTATTGAAGGGACTGTGGGCCTCTGTCGCGGGACCAAATCTTCTCTACTAGAAATACGTCGGGCTGCGTGTGGAGGAGGTCCACAGTCGCCCTGAAGATGATGCTTTAGTCTGCTTCAGGGCTAAACTCCGGAGTCACAAAGCAGAATGCGACGCGGGGAACCAAGTTTTGGATGCGAGACGCACACCAGATGCATCTGAAACGGCGTTGCTACTGTGTTTCGAGCGGCTTCCGCCTGCCTGGGACGTATATTATGGAGTATAAAGATGTTACCTATAGTATCTGGCTGCATCACATCTGTCTGAAGCCTTAAGCTTTAGAGCATTTGTTCATTCTTGCGGACAAGGCAAAAACTGTCGGCACCACGGCAGTAAATACAACGAACACTGTGTGTACTTATGCAGGGAGCCTTTCTGCCGCAAAAAGCTCTCAGGCAAGTTTGAAAGTAGGAGATGCAGGCAGGAAGGGCCTTCAAGACAGTGCCCAGAAGGAAGATACATCGCCTCTTTAGATAATGCCAAGGGGCCAGCTGAAACGAGTGGCATGCACCCTGAAACGGATGGGACAGCAAGTGGTGCCCCCACATTTGTTACGAGTTATCATTTTGTAAGAGGAGTTACGGACCCCTAGTTTCATAAGGGAAGTGCGACGCAAAATGCTTCAAGGGCTTACGAGAATGTGTGGATAGATGTGAAATTCTGATGCAAGCAGCAGGTAGACTGCGCTCAGTTTCCTTTCCTGCCCCGGATGTACAATGCCATCTCTCTGTTTTGTTCGCGCTGTCGTAGTGATGCAGCTTTTCACGTGTGCTGTTTCGCATCCTTGGCATTCGCGCGATTTGTATTTGCAGCTGTTGCGCGTCTGACGACTTGTGCAGTTTGGCATAGTTTGGCATGTTCGCTTTTTTCCGGCTGCTCGCAGGAATAGGCTTCCCGACGAGAGACACAAGATTCGCAGAGCATTCCCACAGCCCAACAATCCCTGTCTGGCTGCCATGGCAGCTTCCTCAAGATTCTTTAGAATCTAGCTAAGGCCGCGAGTGCAGCGTAAATCCATGATGCGCTGCATGTATGTTCACACCCAAATCTTGCGACTGCCTCCTGCAATCATTGCACAAGTGCTAGTTGCGTCTTGGGCACCTACCAAACAGATCCAAAGAGGAAGCTCCGGTTACGATGTTTAATTGACTGGACTGACCACCATGCCAAAGCAGGAGTTGGCCCCAGACGGCGCCCGCATTGCAAATTACAAAATGGACAATTGCGGACTGAGATGGTCAAGCATGCGTCAGTTACCAACCAGACTCAGTGTCCAGCCCTGTGGTAGAGGTAGGTCTAACAGTGCCAGTTGCGTCAGATGCGGACTTTTGATGCAGACTGATTGAAGGAGGGACAGATTGCTGGAGGTGATCTGGCCTTGCCCTGCTCTAGAGGGTCCCAGCTTCTTGCTGTAGGTGTCTGCTCTTCACACTGGTCACCAGCCATACGTAGAAGGGCACAGTGTCCGCTGCACAGCTTGTCGCTGTAGACAGCATGTAAACAGTTTTATCACCCTCAACAAGTTTGTCAGAGGTTGTACAGGTCGCAGGCGATCAGGAGGTGTCTTGGCATTGCCGTGTCTTCAGTGTAAAACAAAACTGGCCAGCAGTCTCCCGCACTTTCCCTGCCAGCAGATGCGCTTGTGCCCCGTTCGAGTGGAAATGTGGTTCACTGTAGTGGCACGATGGCTTCTGGGGCTGCGGGATCACGAAACATGTCCTGAAGACAAAGCTCACCAAGCCTGGAATTCGTCAGCATGGTTCGCAAGACTTGCTTCCAACATTCTGTAGCAATTCAACACCAGTCGCGCGTGTCGCATGCTTCGGGCCATGCATCCGAGGCAGCAATTTACTATCCACAGGGGAATGCCAAACAGTGTAGCGGCGTACAATGCCTTCCTGGACAAGGCGGCACCCGCGATATAGCAGCTTAGAGCATCTTGAATCTGCAGCCGAACATGAAGCATCGAAAATTAGCTCGGCCCTGAGCGACTTCGCCAGCAAGCAAATCAGCAGCTTTATTGACCTCAAACTGCCATTACTCACTATCACCTGCGCTAGCTTGGCGCGAGGTCAGCCAGGACACACAAACGTCACGGGGCTGAACGAGCTGTTTGATTTCCAACCAAAGTTCAGGGTTGCTGCGCCGGCCAACAGCAAGAGTCGTTTGCAACTTCAATTTCTTTAAGCGTTTGATTCAAGCAAGCGAATCAATGCAGAACTTTAGATGGCCTCGCATGTACCTAAGAAGCATTTTCATCAGGCACAGTCCGTTTCCTCCCAGGCAACGGGCCACATCTGATACGGCTCGCCAGCCTCCACTGCAACCACAGACCAAGCGCACGGTCTTAGCAACTTGTTCGCTGAGAAAGGGCCACCTGAATCATCGCAGATGCAACTTCGTGTGCGACCTCCTGGTGAACCTCACCTCGGTAGTTGCGGGCCTTGGCTACGTAGGCCAAGGAACGAACGTCACACAGCTTAGTTCGTGTATGCACGAGCTTGTTTTGCAGCATAGTAGTTCGTCGTGTGATGTGTCATGTGACAAAAACTTTCAAGAAGGAAATCAACAGGCCGGAGTTGCCGTTCAAGAATTGATACAAGAAGAAATGATTCAAGATGCCAAAAAAGGCCAAGACAAAAAGAATGCAGTGCAAACTGCCATAATTAGTAATGCGACTTTGCATGGCCTACGGGCCTCACCAAGAGCCTGCAAGGCCAATCCTCGCGGGGTTCGCTCTTCGGGGTTTGGGTTTCGTGGGGTGTTGGGTTTTCTGGTTTGGTTGCTAACCCGAATTGGGGGCCATGCGGTTCAACCGCAAGGGTCCTCGCAGAGTTCCTCTCGGACCAATGCCCAAAGGGGCCATACCACTGCCCGTCGGGCTGCCCGTCGCCTAGTTCCACCAGTAGAGATGCCTGTGCTGCCATGGCATCCGAGTGTTTCAGCGATAGCAGTTGCGGAGCTTGCTCCGCCTGTGAGGCTTAACCACAGGCACCTTTCAACGTTTCGGGCCTTGCTTGCACTTGGGACCACCACAGCGTGTGCACAGAGCCAGCAAAGAAAGACCCTCTGGTTGCTGTAGGCTTACCCACTGCCCTGAGGGGGTTCCGTTCTGTAGTCTCGCTTTTTGAGTGTGTGTTTTGGCTGCTTTACGCGGCAAGGCTTTTTGCCGGATCCAGATGGGATCGGGTTCCGTCTGGGCCTTATGAACCCAAACATGGGTCCTGCAGGTCTAGCCCTTTAAGCTGCGGCCTCAGTGAGACGCCTCGCAGAGGCAAGCGACGTAAGCCTCGCCCTAAGCTCGTGCCTGAGAAAGAGAGGCTTGCAACTGAGAGGGCAAGGGCCCGCAAGTTTGTGTCTGCTGCTAGGAGGGTTGGCCGTAGAAGGCACCGTGTTAGAAACCTCAGGTACAGACAATGCGGAAGGGCGAGGTGTGTCCGACTGCTTTTTTGGAAGCTGCAAGGCAAGGGTTGGGACCCCGTTAGGGGAACGCGGGTGGGACAGGCTTCTCACCCAGGACCTGTTCCGGGGGGGGAGGTTACAGACATACAAGGAGAAAGCGTACACAGCGCCAAAAGGCTGCGCAGATTGGCATGACCCCAGCTGATTTGCAAGGAATTGCTGAGCTTGTTGCGCAAACACTTGCTAAGACCTACAACTTAGGTGCCTGGGCCTCAGGTACCAGAAACTTTCAGGCTGAGCAAGCCTGGCAGGAGCCGCAGAGACGAGTCGTGTAACGAACAAACTGCAGGGTGGTCTTGGTGGGACGATTGGGGGGGTTGGGCCAGTGAGGCCTCACCTGGCTGACAGGAAACCGCCCCTTGGAATGAGTTTAAGGAAACGGGTTCAGGGAAGGCGTGGGCCTGGGACTGGACCGGGTGGGTTCAGTGCGATAACGGTTGGTGGGAGCCGCCTTCTGACGGGTACTTCCAGGGTGTTTCTGGGGGCGGGGGGGGCCCGCGACAGTTCTAAGACGCCTGATTGGTC